TGCTGACCTGCAGTTCTTTCCGTCTTCCGCAGACCCTTCCCTCTTCGTTCGTGCTGGCCAGACTCCGTTCTACATCCTTGTTTACGTCGACGACCTGGTCTTTGCCACAGCAGACAGGGGTGCACTGGCCTCCGTGAAGGCAGAGCTGCTGAAGAGACACACCTGCACTGATCTTGGAGAACGGCGCCATTACCTTGGCTTGCAGATCTCCAGGGACAGAGCTGCGCGCACCATCACCCTGACTCAGTCACACTTGGTGCGCCAGGTCCTTCAGAGGTTCAGCCTTCAGTTTTCCTGCACAGCCCACCCCTCTGCCTGTAGACCACAGGCTCTCCGCTCCAGTGTCTGAGGAGTTGGTAGAGCCCAGCGGCCCCTACGCAGAGCTGGTGGGTTGCCTCATGTACCTGATGACTTGCACTCGCCCAGATCTCGCATACCCTCTCAGCATCCTGGCTCGTTTTGTGGCCACAGGCAGACACCGACCGCAGCACTGGTCTGCCGCTAAGAGGGTTCTGCGTTATCTTGCTAGTACATCGGGCATGGGGTTAGTGCTAGGAGGACGCAGGCCAGTGGTCCTTACTGGACACACAGACGCTTCATGGGCAGACGACGCTGAGACACTCAGGTCTACCCAGGGCTACTGCTTCAGCCTTGGCTCAGGTGCCGTCTCGTGGAGAGCTACTCGCTCCTCGTCTGTGGCGCAGTCCTGCTGTGAGGCTGAGATCTACGCTGGTGCCATGGCAGCACAGGAGCTCCGCTGGCTGACCTTCTTGCTCACTGACTTAGGTGAGCGGCCTAGCTCTGCCCCGGTCCTGTTCGCTGACAACAGGGCCATGATCCTCCTGTGTCAGGAGCCTCGATTCGAGGGCAGAGCGAAGCACATTCAGCTGCGGTACTTCCTCCTGCGTGAGCTACAGCAGCGACGTCAGGCTCGCGTAGTACACTTGGCCTCAGGTGCCAACACGGCTGATATCTTTACGAAGGCGCTTGCGCCTAAAGATCATCAGCGGCACTGTGTACAGCTTGGTCTAGTTCCTGTAGCCTCTCACTTGCTAGGACCTTGACTAGCTACTGTCCTTTATATGTATACTCAGACTGGACTTGTGTCCTCTCCCAGTGGCTGGACTAGTAGTGCCGCCCTGCTCTTGTTCTTTCCTTGTCTGTACTCCTTCTGACTGGTCTCTCAGACCCTTGTCTCAGAGGTTGGACTAGTAGTGCCGCCCTGAGCTGCTTGTTTAGGACATTCCCCTATGCAGTCTAGGGGGTGTGTCAAACATGTGTATTTGTCATGTTTGTATAGACTGTATAGGGTAGTCTCTTAGAGGGTACAACACTTAGGTATATCTGTGTGTACCGTCTCTCTAACATTATTCACTTCTTCGATTTCTGATAGCTGTGTGCTTCTTGCTCAGCACTACCCCTTATATAGCATAGAGGGTGTGTCAACTTATACATACATTTGCATGTAAAAGCTATAGGTTAAAATAGGTATGTGTTCTTAAAATGTACAAACCAAACCCTATATCTACCTTATTCACTCTTCCGTCTAATCATTACGTTTTTCTAACAGAAAGGCTGTACATCCAGAACAATAGACACTCAAGTGTAAAATATGTTAACATGGGTCTTAATAATTTACGTCCGCGTTAATGTCCAATCTAGACACTTTTTTTTTATGTATTTCTAAGAAGACCATGGGTTCCAATAGTGGGGGGATTACGGTATGTGTGACCTCATACATCCGTTGGATGGAATTAGTATTTCCATACTGAGGCTTGCTAAAGGGCGTACGACTCGAGCAGTCCTGAACCATCGCCAGGGTTCCAGACCTTTCAGTTCGAGCCTCCTCAGCCTTTCCGGACCTCTCTTCGACACATCGAGGCCCTTCGATACCTTTCCCGAACCTTCCGATCTTATGTCCAGGATCACCCTAGGCTTTCTATATATTTTATTGTCGTTCATTTTATTGCCATTCACTCGTTCATAGTTTCGCCATTGCCCTCCGGCAGTCCCATTCATAACATCCGTCCTTCTATTTGGGTTTTTAGGTTAGCGGTAACCCTTACTGGAGTTTTACTCTTTTGAGTAACATTTAGCCCTTTCACGGAAGGGTTTCTCATTGTTCCAACCTTCCCGGGCCAGTTTTTTGTTCTTTGAGGTTAGTTCGCACCACAGAAGACCACGCGTCACAATCTCCTTGCTCCGTCACTTTGGGGCTACTGAACTCTGTTTTCCTGCGATATTGTGGGATCTGTAGTGCTACTGAAAATGGCTGACAACATTCGGGCAGGCTAGCTGGCAAGAAAAAAACTAAAACCCATAGGGGCGAGTATGCCATTCTGGTGGGCATCAACCCTAAATTCGTGGCCCTTTTGCGAGTTTAGGGTTGATGCCATCCAGAATGCCATGCCAGGCCCATAAGGGTTTTATTGTTTCTGCCCTCTGCCCAAGATGAAGGAGATTGTTACACGTGGTTCGCTGTGGAGAGAACTAACCTCGAAGAACAAAAAACTGTCCCTGGGGGGTTTGATCGGCGAGAAACCCTTCCGTAATAGGGGCTAAACGTGATCCCAAAGAGTAAAACGCTAGTAAGGGTTACCGGTAATCTAAAAACCCCTTCTATTTCGTTCTCTCAAGTTACACTTCCTTCCGTTATGTGCACTGTTGACTGTACTTGTGCGCTCGCCTGGCATCCGATACACACATGAATCCTTCCTAAAAATCCGCCTTTTCCACGCTGTGGTCGAGCAGATTCAACTACACTTGAATTTCTTTTCAGGTTGAGTTGTGTTTTTAGCGGGTGCTCCAAAGTCGAGCACATAACTTTCACGGGTCGAATAGAGCCAATATAGGTTAGTCTGGTTACCTCGTTGGCATTTTCCAGTCTAAAGCGGGAGACCATTGTTGTTTTTTTTGCGTACCTTGGGCAACAGTGGAAGGTTTGAGAACGTCCCGTCTGCACGTTTGGAGGTCTCCGTATCAGATTCTGTATCTGCTGCAGATCTTTGGGTCTGTTTTGACTGAGCTGTTGTTCGTGTTTTGAAACCAATGGGCGTGTAAATGGACACGTAGAATTAAATGAATTAGCGACGTCAGGTGTACTGAATGTGCCTGTGCTCTCATTCAGTACACAGCACCAACGTACAGAGCCATTCCCCAAGAGTCCACCCTAGTGCTGGCATTGCAGCGTCGCTCGCTATGTCCTCGCTCCGCCCCTCTCTTCCAGCTCGCCAAGTGGCGCCCTCTGCGACGTTGCAGAGACGATCACGCGTGGTCGGACCAGCGCGGTGCCTTCGTCGCGACTCCGCCTCTGGCGCGCGCGCCGTCGCCGCGGCGAGGCCGAGCACGTGCGTCAGAAGTGACATGTAAGGCCCGCCACGCCTCGCGAATGCGCTTCTCTGGCGACCGTCGCCGCGAGGCGAACGATTCCGATAGTTTAGGGACGAGACTTACTTGGGACAGTTTTGGGACAACGCTTTCCCGCCTAGTAGGCGTTGGTGCGAGGACTCTTCCGATTGTGTGGGAAGTGGCATTGTCATTCGTGGTTCTCACCGCTCCTGTGTGCTCTCCTCGCGATATCTTGTCGTCGATTTATCCCCCATCGCAAAGTTCCCCCCTTTTTTTTTGTGTGCTCGCGGGTTGTTGAGGCCACTTGTCAGGCAGCCAACCCCTCAGTTTCAATCGGAAAATTTCCACCCTGCAATTTGACGGCGATTCGCCTGCGCAATTTCGCAGGTGCATTACAGGCCGATTTCGGATAGTTTTCAACCCGTTATATCACAAAATGCATTATTGGACTTCAAATTCACTATTTTAGTCCTATGTGTATATACAAATTTATACAAAACTTGGTTGTGCTGTACTGTTAAACAATATACTTATTGTGCAAAAACACGTCTGGCTCATTCTTGTCAAACATCCTCACGATCTGGACGTGACGCAATATTGACGAAATCGGAACCACGCTATATGAAAGCTCTGGTGCTGGCCAGCTCAGCCTCACACACCCTGTGGCTGCATCCACGCCACGCGTCCTGTAGTACCGCACGTACGCAAGGTCATGCCGTACGCAGCGTCTCTTGCAGTGGAACAGGAGCAACACCTTGGCGTACTCCACCACATTACCAACGCACGATACTGCCACATTTGAGAACCATGGTCGCTTGTAGCAGTCAGGTGTAGCCCGGACAAAGTGGGCGAGCTTGGAGGAGTTAACTCCACCATCTGCAGGAAGTGCCATTGTCGGATGGGCCTGCGCAAGACGATGGATGAGTAAGGATAGGGTGGTCTAGGGTGTACATGACAACACATTTGGTGTTCATGACTCACCTGCACCTTCGTGGCGCTCACTCCATAGTCAATTAGCGCCATGTTGAAGTAGATGTGCGCCTCAGGTTGCTGCTTAGCCCACCCTGTGTTGAACTTGTTCATTTTTGTTGGCTCGGATGGAGGCGCGACAAGGACAGGATAGGAGTCCTTCGTGAGGACAGGCACTCCCTTGGTAATGGCCTGCATGTATAGCATATAGTTGTCAATAAAATAGTGAAACAACAGGGGGGAAACTTGGCACATGCGCTCATAAGAGTCATTTACCTGCTGCATTGCAGTGTTGCGTGCGTGTTCGGGCGTGTCAAGCGTGAGGTAGGCTGCCCTCTTCTCATGATGCTTCATTATCTGAGTCTCAACATTGCGCTTGTTGGATCGTCGGTAGATCCGTTTGAGCAACGGGCCATGCAGATGCTCAAACATGGCGGTTGCGAACTCTGATACATTACCTGCTCTCCTGATAGCTGCCGCATAGTGAGTCATCAGGTGCGTTTTGATTAAACACCAATCTGACTTTTGCTCTGGAAAAGCATCCTGCAGCTGCTTGACCAGCCTGTTGGGGTGGGTTTGTGTGGCATTTGTTTTTTTTTGCAAAATACCTAGAGCGTGTATATAGAATTCTCACATGTGTAAATCTTGATAGCCACAAGTATTTATAAGATAATCAAGCTTTATGTTCAAGCATTTGTTCATTGCAGTTAAAATTACCTATGCGTCAACTCCTCTAGAGTCGACAGGCTCCTCTCGGTGTGGCATGGCTGAGCGCAGAAGATGTACCACTCAAGGTACGCGCGGATCGCGCTCAGCCGCTTCTCCTCCAACGTGTCTGCCACGATGAAAAGTAGCACCTAGTTAGGTGGGGTTGGGTTAGTATAGGTGCAGTTTTCTAGAAGGTACCTAAAGCACATATCTCTGAAGCATTCAATAGCTGTATTGACAAAACACGTACCATCAAGACAGCGCGGTGCTCGTGGGCGGCGACACATGCGCCAGACTCGAAATAGGCAGTCTCAGGGAAACGTAGGTTCGTCATTCGAGTCTCCTCACGGATCTGTGTGAGCCTCCTGCAGAAGGGAAGGGGTGTGTGGGTGGAGGGACAGCAAAATGGCAGAACCAGAGGTGAAAATAGGAAGGGGAGAATGGAGCAAGGGAGGGATCAATAGACGAGCACAGGGGGAGGGGGAATGCAGCAAAGGGAGGGGGAAACAGAGGTGCGAAATGGAAGTGGGTAGCAGCAAGCAAGGGGAGCCAGCCATTCGAGCTGTCGGGGGTAGCTGAGCAAGGGAGGGGAAACAGAGGTGCACAAGGGAAGGGGGTTGTGTAGCAAGGGAATGGTGTAGGTGAGGTGTGCAAGGGAAGCAGACAGGAGCAAGGGAGGAGAGCCAGAGGGGCAGGCTGGAAGGGAGAGGTGTGGAGCACAGGTGCAGTCTAGGGGAGGCCGATGCAGCAAGGTGAAGAGACGGAGTGATGCAGCAAGGTGAAGAGACGGAGTGATGCAGCAAGGTGAAGAGACGGAATGATGCAGCAAGGTGAAGAGACGGAGTGATGCAGGAAGGTGAAGAGACGGAGTGATGCAGCAAGGCGAAGAGACGGAGTGATGCAGCAAGGCGAAGAGACAGAGTGATGCAGCAAGGCGAAGAGATGGAGTGATGCAGCAAGGGGAAGAGACGGAGTGATGCAGCAAGGCGAAGAGATGGAGTGATGCAACAAGGCGAAGGGACGGAGTGATGCAGCAAGGGGAAGGGACGGAGTGATGCAGCAAGGTGAAGAGACGGAGTGATGCAGCAAGGTGAAGAGACGGAGTGATGCAGCAAGGTGAAGAGACGGAGTGATGCAGCGAGTGATGCAGCAAGGGGAAGAGACGGAGTGATGCAGCAAGGTGAAGGGACGGAGTGATGCAGGAAGGTGAAGAGACGGAGTGATGCAGCAAGGTGAAGAGACGGAGTGATGCAGCAAGGTGAAGGGACGGAGTGATGCAGCAAGGCGAAGGGACGGAGTGATGCAGCAAGGGGAAGGGACGGAGTGATGCAGCAAGGTGAAGAGACGGAGTGATGCAGCAAGGTGAAGAGACGGAGTGATGCAGCAAGGTGAAGGGACGGAGTGATGCAGCAAGGCGAAGAGATGGATTGATGCAGCAAGGCGAAGGGACGGAGTGATGCAGCAAGGGGAAGAGACGGAGTGATGCAGCAAGGCGAAGAGACGGAGTGATGCAGCAAGGCGAAGAGATGGAGTGATGCAGCAAGGCGAAGGGACGGAGTGATGCAGCAAGGGGAAGGGATGGAGTGATGCAGCAAGGTGAAAAGACGGAGTGATGCAGCAAGGTGAAGAGACGGAGTGATGCAGCAAGGTGAAGAGACGGAGTGATGCAGCAAGGTGAAGGGACGGAGTGATGCAGCAAGGCGAAGAGATGGAGTGATGCAGCAAGGCGAAGGGACGGAGTGATGCAGCAAGGGGAAGGGATGGAGTGATGCAGCAAGGTGAAAGGACGGAGTGATGCAGCAAGGTGAAGGGATGGAGTGATGCAGCAAGGTGAAGAGACGGAGTGATGCAGCAAGGTGAAGAGACGGAGTGATGCAGCAAGGTGAAGGGACAGAGTGATGCAGCAGGGTTTAGGGACGGAGTGATGCAGCAAGGTGAAAGGACGGAGTGATGCAGCAAGGTGAAGAGACGGAGTGATGCAGCAAGGTGAAGAGACGGAGTGATGCAGCAAGGTGAAGAGACGGAACAGAGGATGGATGGTGCATGGGCAAGGGAGGGATGGACGCGGACGGGGTTGGGATGGATGGAGGATGGGCAAAGGAGGGATGGATGCGGAAAGGCAAAAGGCATTCACAGTAGTGGTGGAGCAAGTGGCATGGTACGAGATATGAGTGTGACCCTTACTCGTCAAAGGTGGCGAGACTGCCTTTGTGGGAGGAGCGGATTGCGGAAATCATGTGGTGCAAGATCCCGAGGTCCGCCTGGTGCATTATGTCCGGCATGATGGCCAGGTAAGGGTTCGCCCAGGGCGCACCAGGCACATCCCACAGCCAGAGGGCGCACTGCATCAAAGTAGGGTAGCCGACAGGGTTCAACATACCAGATCAAAGTTTAATTAGGGAGGGTAACGGCTGTGGGGGCCAGAAAGGCGTTGCCGGGGGGCTTGGTGTCTAGCTCGGATAGGGTGATTGCAACCGGATGGGGACAGAAAGGTACCACAGCAAGCATCACGGAGATTAGGGGGGTGAAGAGGCACTAACCTCCATGCCGAACGTGGAGAACTGAACTCCAGCAGCTTTCTTGGTGCCCAGCTTGTTCGCCCAATTGTCAACAATCCACTGCTGTCGGGCCGGGGTCCGAGGAGTGTTCTCGGCCGTCACGCAGTCAAGGTGTTCCTGAGGCATGGTAGAGGTAACCGGGTAAGACGTAAGCGGGTAAGAGGTAACCAAGTTAGAGGTAACTGGGTTAGACGTACCCGGGTTATAGGTAACAGAGTAGGAGGTAACCGCGTCATAGGTAGCAGGGTGGGTGGTGACTGGGTAAGCGGTAACAAGGTTTGAGGTAGCAGGGAGAGAGATAAAAGGGTAAGAAGTAATAGGGTGAAGCGGTGCACACACCTTCTCGGCATAGCAGATGCTGCACGGTCGACTTGTGCCGCCGGAGAGGGTGCACGTGACTTTCCCGCTCTCTGGGTAGTCGCAGACCCACGCGTAGAGCATTGGCTTGACAAGGTGCTCCACGCCGTTCGGGTCTTTTAGCAAGAATCCGCTGGGGTGGCAAGTCAATTGGAGGAGGGGGCAGTGCAGAAACAGTGAGCTCAGCTAGAAGGTGCATGCACAAAACTAGGGGAAAGATGTGAGAGACGTTCAATCGAGAGATCCGAGGGTGGTGGGGGGGTGGGGGGCGCGGTGGGGGGGAGAAGGATTGCGTTAGGCAGCAGGATGGTCACAGCCACGCACTTCTTGCTAACGCTCTTACCACTCACGACCCTCCAAAATCGTATGCAGCATGGTGAGAGCCCCCTGCTGAAAGAGTTGAGTTTTCTGCGCCGAAGGCATCCCCTTGGGTGGGATTGGGAGATTGCCCAGCAGGCAGTGCCCCGACGTCGCCCAGCGCCCGCCCTGACGGATGTTGGCGATGGTCATCATCACGGGCCACGCCTTCTTGCGCCCATTCTCACTGAGATGGGTGACGTCACTGTAGAGAATGATGGCAGCAACTACCGCGCCATCGCCGACGTGGGCCTGCAAATAAGTTGTGGTAATAACAGACAGGGCGTTAGAGGAGCCGAGACTTACAGCGGCAAGGGGTGGGAAGGCAGAAGCGGCAGGGAACCTAGCCTCGGCCAATGCAATGTACCTGAGCACTGTGCCACCAGGTGCCTGTCTCTGGCGTGGTATAGCACCTCTGCCCAGTCGCCGGATCGGTGTCAATGCGCGGCTTGAGAACGAACCCAGGGGCGTTGTTCGGATGACCGAACAAGTCAGCGAGGGCCTAGCAGGGAGGGAAACAAAGGAGGCGGGTGGGGATGGGGGAGGGGGTGGAATAGGGTTAAGGGGGTAGGCGCAAAGAGGCGAGAGACTGGGGCGGGGTAGGTTGGGATGAGAGTCGCTTAGGTTAAACTAGAGGCAGAGTAGGAAAGGGAAATGGAGTCAATGACTGAAATAAAAAGTTGGCGCATGGGAAGGCGTATTCGAGCTGCCTGGGCAAAACCAGAGCCAGAGGTGGGTTATGAGGTCACCACTCTATGATGCACAATGTGAAACAGGGGTGCAGAAGGTTCACACCAGAAACTGGTTCGGAGGTTTCGTTTGGCAGCGGGAATATCGGAGCTGGGGCACATTGGGGCACAGGGACGCGGAAAGGGTTCGTTTCAACTTCTCTGAAGCATGGGAAGGGCGGGGCAGGGAGAGTTTGAAGACCAGAGAAACCATGTGAGCATTTAGGTTAAACAAACGGAGCATGGCATCATCGTGCTGCCATCCTAGTGTCAATAGGTTTACTGTGATGGAAAGCTGGAAATGAACTTGCCTGTGCCGGATCTCTGAAGAACAGGATCTGGGGCTTGAAGCCGTCGACGTTGAACGTGGCGACGCTCCAACCGCGGCCCAACCCCGACAGCTGCTCAAGCTCAAAGCGTTCGAGCTCCTTGCAGTTGGTGAACTCCGATAGGATAGCCTGCGCGAGCTCCGGATGCATGAGGAGTTGGAGTATCTTGTTGATATCCACCTCCGTCATCCCCATTTTTCCGTTTGCGAGGCGGACGAGGTGGATGAAGCGCAGCACGAGAGGATGTGTGTGCGGAGGCGGCGTAAAGTTCGGCGCGATAAGAATAGGAGGCGCTGGAGCGTGCGCCGGGTCGACATAGTTGCTGATGTCAGCAGATTGCGCGTCACCGAGCACATCCAGGTGAGGGAGAGGGTCTTCGTTCGAACCGTACGATGCATTGTCGGAGTTTACGGTGTCCGCCTCGCCCTCGGACGGCAATGGAAGCCCGGACGAACTCGCCAACGGGCTTGGAGGTGCGTCGATAGGAGCGGGCTGTGGTGCGTCCAACGTCATGAAAAGGTACTGAGACATGGAAGGGCTCTGCACAGCCCGCCCAGCAGCATGCTTACGGCGGCACGAGTTCGCAGTACCCTTGTGTTGACCAAAGGCCTGGGCGTTGCGAAAGTGCTTCTCACAGAAACCGCACGTTATCCATTCGTTGCTGGTCATTGCTGGTCGGCCTGAGAGGGAAGGGGAGTTCCGTTCGGACAAGTATAAGTCCTCTGTATTCACCACTGCTCTAAATACAACATGAAAGAGGCGAGGTGAAGCAGGCGAGGCAGGGGGTCGATCATCGTAACGCGGGAAAACGCAGTTGGCGCTGGCGCCTAAACTACTACTTACTGCTGCACGACAGTTACGAACTTCGAGTTTCAAACATCACAAAGGGTTTCGATCGCGATCCAGATGCGCGGGGGCAACCCTAAGTGATACAAATGAGGAGTCAGTAGCTACGAGCACAATTCATGATAGGGATAGCAGTACATGTGGTCGCAAACGTTAAATACAGAAAACAAAACCATGCATGCGTGGTGCATTGTAGGTTTCCCACCAAACAACCATGCTTGGAGAATAAATAAAAAACGACACGACGGGTGATAGACGCATTCACCAACAAGGTTTAAAACACCACACATTGTAGTCCCAACAACACACAAGTACTACAAGCAAGAGCCCACCCCGCAAACCTTCGTGCTCAGTTGGGGCTCCAGATGTTGCCCCTCCTATTGGATTGGGAGGTCCATTGCAACACCACAATCGGTTCCCCCTCCTCTCAAAATGCAACCAAGTATGTCAGGGGTTGAAAATGAGTGTGAATTCAAAAAAAAAAAAAAAAAAGCAGATTCCGCCCCCTACAGCCCCCCCCCCCCGCATGCCTCCGTGCTCCTCTGGGGCTGGGATCAGGGTGGGGCTGGGATCAGGGTGGGGCTGGGATCAGGGTGGAAAGTCCATGTAGACACCATAACCGGTTTTCCCACGTTAGAAAAGGGAACCAAATACGGCAGGGGTTGGAACTGGGTGCGAATTCACACAAAAACTTTCAAAAACAAGCAAATTCCGCCCCCTACAAGCCCCCCCTCATGCCTCCGTGCTCCTCTGGGGCTGGGATCAGGGTGGAAAGTCGATGTAGACACCATAACCAGTTTCCCCATGTTAGAAAAGGGAACCAAATACGACAGGGGTTGGAACTGGGTGCGAATTCACACAAATACTTTCAAAAACAAGCAAATTCCGCCCCCTACAAGCCCCCCCTCATGCCTCCGTGCTCCTCTGGGGCTGGGATCAGGGTGGAAGGTCCATGTTGACACCATAACCAGTTTCCCCACGTTAGAAAAGGGAACCAAATACGGCAGGGGTTGGAACTGGGTGCGAATTCACACAAAAACTTTCAAAAACAAGCAAATTCCGCCCCCTACAAGCCCCCCCTCATGCCTCCGTGCTCCTCTGGGGCTGGGATCAGGGTGGAAAGTCCATGTTGACACCATAACCGGTTTCCCCACGTTAGAAAAGGGAACCAAATACGGCAGGGGTTGGAACTGGGTGCGAATTCACACAAAAACTTTCAAAAACAAGCAAATTCCGCCCCCTACAAGCCCCCCCGCATGCCTCCGTGCTCCTCTGGGGCTGGGATCAGGGTGGAAGGTCCATGTAGACACCATAACCAGTTTCCCCACGTTAGAAAAGGGAACCAAATACGGCAGGGGTTGGAACTGGGTGCGAATTCACACAAAAACTTTCAAAAACAAGCAAATTCCGCCCCCTACAAGCCCCCCCTCATGCCTCCGTGCTCCTCTGGGGCTGGGATCAGGGTGGAAAGTCCATGTTGACACCATAACCGGTTTCCCCACGTTAGAAAAGGGAACCAAATACGGCAGGGGTTGGAACTGGGTGCGAATTCACACAAAAACTTTCAAAAACAAGCAAATTCCGCCCCCTACAAGCCCCCCCGCATGCCTCCGTGCTCCTCTGGGGCTGGGATCAGGGTGGAAGGTCCATGTAGACACCATAACCAGTTTCCCCACGTTAGAAAAGGGAACCAAATACGGCAGGGGTTGGAACTGGGTGCGAATTCACACAAAAACTTTCAAAAACAAGCAAATTCCGCCCCCTACAAGCCCCCCCTCATGCCTCCGTGCTCCTCTGGGGCTGGGATCAGGGTGGAAAGTCCATGTTGACACCATAACCGGTTTCCCCACGTTAGAAAAGGGAACCAAATACGGCAGGGGTTGGAACTGGGTGCGAATTCACACAAAAACTTTCAAAAACAAGCAAATTCCGCCCCCTACAAGCCCCCCCGCATGCCTCCGTGCTCCTCTGGGGCTGGGATCAGGGTGGAAGGTCCATGTAGACACCATAACCAGTTTCCCCATGTTAGAAAAGGGAACCAAATAGGACAGGGGTTGGAACTGGGTGCGAACTCACACAAAAACTTTCAAAAACAAGCAAATTCCGCCCCCTACAAGCCCCCCTCATGCCTCCGTGCTCCTCTGGGGCTGGGATCAGGGTGGAAAGTCCATGTTGACACCATAACCGGTTTCCCCACGTTAGAAAAGGGAACCAAATACGGCAGGGGTTGGAACTGGGTGCGAATTCACACAAAAACTTTCAAAAACAAGCAAATTCCGCCCCCTACAAGCCCCCCCGCATGCCTCCGTGCTCCTCTGGGGCTGGGATCAGGGTGGAAGGTCCATGTAGACACCATAACCAGTTTCCCCATGTTAGAAAAGGGAACCAAATAGGACAGGGGTTGGAACTGGGTGCGAACTCACACAAAAACTTTCAAAAACAAGCAAATTCCGCCCCCTACAAGCCCCCCCTCATGCCTCCGTGCTCCTCTGGGGCTGGGATCAGGGTGGAAGGTCCATGTTGACACCATAACCAGTTTCCCCACGTTAGAAAAGGGAACCAAATACGGCAGGGGTTGGAACTGGGTGCGAATTCACACAAAAACTTTCAAAAACAAGCAAATTCCGCCCCCTACAAGCCCCCCCTCATGCCTCCGTGCTCCTCTGGGGCTGGGATCAGGGTGGAAAGTCCATGTTGACACCATAACCGGTTTCCCCACGTTAGAAAAGGGAACCAAATACGGCAGGGGTTGGAACTGGGTGCGAATTCACACAAAAACTTTCAAAAACAAGCAAATTCCGCCCCCTACAAGCCCCCCCGCATGCCTCCGTGCTCCTCTGGGGCTGGGATCAGGGTGGAAGGTCCATGTAGACACCATAACCAGTTTCCCCACGTTAGAAAAGGGAACCAAATACGGCAGGGGTTGGAACTGGGTGCGAATTCACACAAAAACTTTCAAAAACAAGCAAATTCCGCCCCCTACAAGCCCCCCCTCATGCCTCCGTGCTCCTCTGGGGCTGGGATCAGGGTGGAAAGTCCATGTTGACACCATAACCGGTTTCCCCACGTTAGAAAAGGGAACCAAATACGGCAGGGGTTGGAACTGGGTGCGAATTCACACAAAAACTTTCAAAAACAAGCAAATTCCGCCCCCTACAAGCCCCCCCGCATGCCTCCGTGCTCCTCTGGGGCTGGGATCAGGGTGGAAGGTCCATGTAGACACCATAACCAGTTTCCCCATGTTAGAAAAGGGAACCAAATAGGACAGGGGTTGGAACTGGGTGCGAACTCACACAAAAACTTTCAAAAACAAGCAAATTCCGCCCCCTACAAGCCCCCCCTCATGCCTCCGTGCTCCTCTGGGGCTGGGATCAGGGTGGAAAGTCCATGTTGACACCATAACCGGTTTCCCCACGTTAGAAAAGGGAACCAAATACGGCAGGGGTTGGAACTGGGTGCGAATTCACACAAAAACTTTCAAAAACAAGCAAATTCCGCCCCCTACAAGCCCCCCCGCATGCCTCCGTGCTCCTCTGGGGCTGGGATCAGGGTGGAAGGTCCATGTAGACACCATAACCAGTTTCCCCATGTTAGAAAAGGGAACCAAATAGGACAGGGGTTGGAACTGGGTGCGAACTCACACAAAAACTTTCAAAAACAAGCAAATTCCGCCCCCTACAAGCCCCCCCTCATGCCTCCGTGCTCCTCTGGGGCTGGGATCAGGGTGGAAAGTCCATGTTGACACCATAACCGGTTTCCCCACGTTAGAAAAGGGAACCAAATACGGCAGGGGTTGGAACTGGGTGCGAATTCACACAAAAACTTTCAAAAACAAGCAAATTCCGCCCCCTACAAGCCCCCCCGCATGCCTCCGTGCTCCTCTGGGGCTGGGATCAGGGTGGAAGGTCCATGTAGACACCATAACCAGTTTCCCCATGTTAGAAAAGGGAACCAAATAGGACAGGGGTTGGAACTGGGTGCGAACTCACACAAAAACTTTCAAAAACAAGCAAATTCCGCCCCCTACAAGCCCCCCCGCATGCCTCCGTGCTCCTCTGGGGCTGGGATCAGGGTGGAAGGTCCATGTAGACACCATAACCAGTTTCCCCATGTTAGAAAAGGGAACCAAATAGGACAGGGGTTGGAACTGGGTGCGAACTCACACAAAAACTTGCAAAACCAAGCAACCAAAGCCCCCCCGGCATACCTCCGTGCTCGGTTGGGGCCAAAGGTTGGGTGATAGGTCCATGGCAACACCAAATCTACTTTCCCTATGTTAAAAGACGGTGGTTTATATGGGAGGGATTGAAAAAGAGTGCGAATTCAACCTGAAACAAACAAATTCAGCACTAGACAGCCTCTCCCGCATATCTCTGTGCAGCTGTGGGGCTGGGAATTGGGAGGAAGGTCCGTGGCAACTCTCCGCCCAACTGCCCCCGGAAAAGAGCGGAACCAATCACGCAATGACTAAAAAACGAGAGCAGATTAACCTTTAAAACACTCAACACCTGCACCTTAACGTCACCCCAACATACCACCGTCCTCTGTTGGGGCTGGGATTTGGGTGGGAGGTCCATGGCGAGTCCACCCTCGTGTTCCGCACTCCAAGAGACGAACCCCAAATCGACACACCCTGAATCTGAGAGGAAAAGCAGAAAGAGACACAAACCAAAACATGCGAAGACAACAAATCACAAACAAATGTGATCCAACTATGGTAAAATTGGCCAGGGAGGATCCTGGGGAGTCCAACCCTATGATTCCCACGCCACATAACGGAACCAGAAATGGCTCACCTTGAATCTGAGCTAAGAACAACATGGGACACAAAACAAAGCATGCAATGTCAAAAAATCACAACCAAACGTTAACCAAACATATTAGAAGTTTGCTGGGAGGTCCATTACCATAATGGTCATAGGTCACTGGCACAAAAAGAAGGTGGTGCAAAAGT